CGCTCTCTCTCTCTCTCTCTCTCTCTCTCTCTCTCTCTCTCTCTTATTCACCACAGATGAACGAGGAGCGACGCGGGGGGACTCACATCTCACTCACCTGCCCATTCACAAATCCCCGTTAAGAGTGTACGGGCCTTTACCCCTTGCAGCAACCTCATCTACCTCCTCCCCAGGGCGAGTGGCAGCCCCTCCACCCCCCGTAGTAATTCCCGAAGACTCCTCGCTTCTCACGTCCGCCTGGTTGTACTCTGAGCCAGTGCTAAGAACAATTTTCGCCGTCAACTCATCAAGCCGAAAATAGGCCCAGACGACGGTGTCTTGGCCGTGTTTGTCAAAATACTTCAACAGAAGCGAGATTAGACTGTCCTCCACGGCGCGCCGCAGCGCATGCCCGTTTTCCTTCCCCTCCCATGTCTCACGATGCCGCTCCACAAGAAAGGCAACCGCCAAATCATCAATGCTGCTCGCCACGACCGAACCACTATCGCTCCAGTACTTGGCACACGGCAGAGCGGCCACGGCAATTCGAACCATCTGCTCCGCGTCTAGCCTAGAAAACGCGGTAAAGAGCATCGTTCGGGTAAAGGCGGAGACGAGTGTGCCGTAAAGGCCAGAAAACTCGTCACGAACAAGTTGCTCAACCTCCGCCATGCTCTTCCCCCACGTGCGTCCCTGCTGCCCAAAGTCCGTGGTCACCACAACAAGCAGCTGGGCGAGGGATGGGGTACCCTCGGGCTGCTCCTCAAAACGCTCCGCACGTCCAAGGAGCGGTGCAAGGGCAGCCACAAGTTTGGGGTGCATCGCCGTCAGGTCGTCAAGCAAGACGATACCGTGCGGGTAGGCCTTTTGGTGCGCCGTTATGCGTTGCATGATGCGCAGCCGTGCATCTGCGATAGGCATCCCATCAAAGCCAGTGCCGGAGATTATAAGCATGTTGTCACCTGCATCGCACATCGGGCGGGATGGGGCGCAACGCAAAGAGGTGGCAAGAGACAGCAGGCGTGCGGTGTGCGTCTTGCCAACGCCGTTGTCTCCGGCAAAGTGTAACACAAGTGGATCCTCCGGATAAGACAACTTCCGCCTCACCGCCTCTAAAATGGCCTTCTTCACGTGCTCCTGTCCCGCAACCCGTGTAAACAGCAGCTCCTCTACATCATTCATGACACGGTGACGCAGTGCCTCCTGCTTTGAAAACGCAAACTCTTGCCGTACCAACGCCGCAGGAAGCGACGTCAGGACGCAGTAACGCAGCTGTAAGAGAAGCGGAGTGCCACGGACAGCACAAATGGGGCAGCGGGGGCAGTGCCACTCCACCACTTCCCCTTCCGCCGAAACAAAAGACGGTCGCAGCGGCGACGCAGGAAAGACAAGAAGAAGCACAGTCAATGCAGCAACCAAAGTCGTTACGGCAGGGGCACCCCGTAAGGAACGGCATCGCGCAAACATGATGGCAGACAAAAACTAAAACGCACCGTCTTATGCTACGTTCTTCCGCCCCACCACAGTTTTCAGCGTTTATTTGACGCTGCACTGCGGTGAGGTGATGCTATGATGCGTGCCTGAGCCCCCCGCCCCCCGCCCAGAGAAGACCACGTGTAGGCGTTGTTTGCTTGTTAGCCGTTGCCGTCACCCGTTAAAAGAAAAGAAAATCGAGCACAAAAGGAAAAGAGAACCTAAATGCAAGACACAAGCAGGACACACGCGAAACAATAATGACAACACAACGCCAAAGGCCTCAAGAGTCATAAGCAAACACGACGAAAAAAAAAAAGAAGGTAAATTGGAAGGGAAGTTGTAAATGTCTGGGCGCATATTTATAAGCTCATGCATTGCTGTGTGTGCATGTCACCTTCATTTGGGCGGCCCCTGCGGTGGGCCAAAGTCAGGGCCGCCGGGATTTGAGCTCTGCGCCGCGTTCGCCACCGAGTTGGTTGCGATGCCGCCAATGTTGTTCCACACGCCGCGTGCGGCGTCGCGCCTGCCAAACTTTGCACGGCCGCCCTTTCGTCGCGCCAGTTGCGCGCGGCGAAACCACACCGCATGATCCATAACGGCGTCCATCACGCGCTGCTGCTGCCGCGGCGGAACACCGCCGTGAATGCCTGTCGTCTGCGGGTGAAACAGCGGGCGCCAGGTGGCGTTGTGGTGCAGGTAGGTGCGCTCCAGATGGGCTGGAATTGTTTTCTGCGTGATGAGCGACACGTACGAGCGGGCAATGGCGTTCATCTTGTGGGTGCGCCACTCCGCGTAGCGCGGGGTCATCATGTGCGACTTCCAGTTGCTCAGCCCCTCCAGCGGCAGATTTTTCCGTAGGAAGGCCCGCACCGCGGCGACAATGACGCCTTGGTGTTTGGTGTAGAGGCTGTAGACTTTGCCCAGGCGCCCCTGTCGTGCCGTGCGGCCGGCGCGCGAGAGGTACACCAGCGCGTTGGTGGGCATGTCGAAGTTTACCACCACGTCCACGTGGACGTCTAGCCCACGCGCAGCGAGGTCGGTGGCGCAAAGAATATTCGTGCGACCAGAGGCAAAATCGGCAAACATGCGCCGGCGAACATCCCACGGCAGCGCGGCGTGCAGCAGGGAGCACGCGAAGCCGCGCCCGCGCAGCTGGTGGTACACCGCCGTGGCAGAATCAACACCACTTGTGAAGACAATGACCCGTTGCCCTTCGCCAAAGACGGTGCGGGGGATGTGGCATGTAAACGGGGCAGCAACGGTTGTGAGATGCTCCCAACGCAGAGGGCGGACACGTTCCAAGATACGACGCACCTCCTCGTGCCCATCGCGTTTCACATCCAGAGATAAGGCAGAAGTGGAAGAAGTGCAAAACGAAGTTGTTGCCCCGTCATGAGCCCCGCCCGGGCGGGGATGGAATTCCTCCTCCTGTCTCAGAACATCCTCCGCCGACACTGGCGATGAATCACATTGACGTGCCTGCGGTTGCGGTTGCCGCGGCGGTGGTGGCGCGTGTCGTAGCTGCTCCATAAACTCTTCGAGTGTCCCTGTCAAGTAGTGCGGTTGCGTGTGTGCCTGCACCTCATCCACATCAGTGGAAATGACGCGTGGCTGGTTGTCGTGCTTCTTCAGGACGTGCTGCAGGACATCCATCTTTTCCTGTGTGCGATGGATCGCAAAGAAGCGGTGGGACAGGGTGTCCGGGGGGCGATGCATGCGCTGTCGCTGCAAGCATGTCACAGCCTGCGGGAACTTTTTGCCAACCACAAATTCCAGCTTTCGTGTAATGTAGGCGGTTGCAAAGACCGTTTGGGTCTGCACCGGCCACAAGTACTTAAACATCATCCGCTTTTGCACCTTCATGAGAAGGTGTACCGCGTCGTGATCGTGCTGAGAGGAGAGCATCGCGTCGGCCTCATCCACGGCAACGTAGCGGATGTCGTCAAGAAACAGTCGACGAGAGCGAATCAGACGCAGAACCACCTTTGGGTCCATGATAACGACATCCGCCAGCGTGTTCTTCATCAGCAGACTTAAGTGGTGTTTGGCCCGCTTACGGGAGCTGAAGGAGACCGAGCGGAGACCGGTGGCTGCGTCCAATGTGGCGCAAACATGCTGCAGCTGTGCAATAAGCTCCTTCGTTGGGGCAAGCAGAATCATGCGGGGACGACGCTCGCGCAGTGGAATCTTGTACACATCCCGATCCTTCATCATATTCTGATACAGCGGGAGAAGGTAGGCGAGCGTCTTGCCCTCACCATGTGGGGCCGCCACCACGGTGTCTTTCCGCTGCAAAATCACCTCAATAGCCGTCTGTTGGATAGGGGACGGTGTGGTAATGTGCAGGCTCTGAGCCAGCGCCTCGCGCAGCTCCGGGGCGAGGAGCATATCCTCAAAGTTTGTCACCGTCTTTGTCTTTACATTTGTTGCGAGTAGCGGAGATTTGGCGGTGCGGGACGGGGAAAGGCTCTGCAGCAGAACGTTACCGACAAGATGGTCGGCGCGTTCCCCGATGGAGCGACTGAAGGTGCCACCGTACGCCTTGAGCTGCTGCGGCACGATAATACTGCGCGTGGCATTGAGGAGGGCGGCACCGACGCGGCCAAAGGAGCTGCTGCTGTTGCTACAGTATCCCGCAGCGAAGGCGCTCCGCATTCCCGCAGGTAACACCGCCAGGAGGGGCAGCAACACCATGCCCGTCACGTGCGGAAATTATTAAGCCCGCCTGTGCCGCTGCCGTCACTCCGTAATTGTCACGCGTGTACCTCACTCTCCTCCTGGCCGTGTGGTGGTGGTGGTGGTGATGTGGGAAACCGGAGAGAGAGACGCAGGCCGAAACAAAGACGCACTCACAAAACCAAAGCAAAAGAAAAGAAGAAAAGGAGGGGGAGGGGTGAGAAAAGACAACAAGGAGCCACGCCACCACCAAATGCCTCCATCGCTTCGTGGGTAATGCCTTACGTCACCACCATCACGTGCTGCAGCTGAGGCTGCGTCATTGAAAGCCGCCCTCGTCCCATTTCATCCTTCGGTTCCCGGACCTCACGTTTTTTTTATTTCCATTTTTTTTTCAGTTTTTTTTTATTATTATTATGGCGGTTTTATTTTGCCGTATTCTTCTTTTCTCCTTTGCTCCTGCTCGCTTCTCTTAATTTGTGGAGTAACGCCGCCGCCACTCCCTGCCCCGCACCAGAGACGCCATCCATCTGCGCCTGCACATACACACAAACACACGTGTGTATGAAGACCAAAAATAAAAAAAGGCTACGCAGGGAAGGCAGGGAGTCCTGCAGCTGTGAGAGGGTGTGACTGCCGGTTTCACTCAACTGTGGTCAGGGCCTTCACTGCCATCTGCAGTGCACCGCCGTAGGTCTTGTTCCCGCCAATGAAGCCAGAGACGTGCACAAAGATGCCGCCGTCAATGCCGCTTGCTTGACTCAGCTCCTCATCCCGCATGCCCCGCCATGGCAACGGCTTGCGGGAGCCAAATCCGGAAGCTACTGTGGGTACCGCCTGCACGCGCCAGTTTTTCTTGTCTGAGAAGAGGACGTACAGGACGTGGCCCACCTTGCCGTGCTCCGCCTCCAACTCCATCAGGTGATCCTTCCAGGGGCAGAAGCGATCCTTGAAGACGACAATGCGGCCGCTGGGGTGCACATTCATGGCGGCAAGAAATGCCTCCTCGACAATCCTGCGCGCCGGAAGCCACGCAAAGGCGTGGTAGTGGACCGCGTCAAAGAACTCGCGCGCCGCCAATTCAACTGCCTGAAGAAAAGCAGCATTTTCGCTCTCCACCCTGCCGTTTTCATCCTCGTTCCACCACGGCAAGAGGCGTCCAATGCGATCTGAAAGCGTTGTCGACACCGTGTACCTCCGCACACATGACGACGCGGAGACGGAGGTGGCACCCTCCTCACCCTCCTTCTCGGCAGTTCCGTAGGCGTCGACGCCGTTGTCGATGCCGTCAATGTGTTCCACGAAGTTCTTGTAAATAATGTCAAACAAGGTGTCAAGCTCCTGCTCTGACAGCTGCTCTCTATCCGCCCCCCAGTTCGCTGCCTCCAGCAGCTTATCACGGTACGGGGAGGCCAAGGCAGACACGACGTAGCTTTGAATAATCTCACGGCCAAAGTGCTTGTATACAAGTCCCGCAGATGAGAGTCGGGTGTGATAAGTTGCCTTTGGTGTTGTCATGGTGCCGTGAAACGAGGGCTGGTGGTGGTCAAACCGCAGCGCAGCGGCATCGTAGACGCCGCCAACGTCCACCACGATGTGGCACTGCTCCAGCGCGCGCGGGTCGCGTGAGCGGAGGATATTCGAGTTGGCGAAATTTGGGCTACAGCGCAGCAGTCCACATGCCATGGCCTCATCGCAGTGAAAGGAGCCATTGTGCGTTCCAATGACACCCGTGGCGGCGTTGTTTTCTACCAACGACTCCAACACGCGAGCCCCACACAAGTGCTTCGCCACGTACTCCACAACAAACCGTCGGGGCATCTGCGACTATGTCTGTGTATGTGAATCTGTGTGTGCCGCTGAGGCCTAAATTCAACTTTCGCAATCGGTATTATTCCCTACGCCTAATATATATATATATATATAACTTCTTTGAGTGAGTAGCGTGACCGGGCAGGGATGTTGACCGCTGCTCCTACCCCTGGAGCGCGAACAAAGACGCACCCGTGGCCGTTGTATAGAGAAGGAAGCAGAGGAAGAGGGAGTGTCGGGCAGAGAACCCCCTCACAGCAAACCCTTGTGGCAACGCCGCGTTGCCGCCTTCGCGTAGATGCGCACACGCAGAAAAAAAAAAAAAGTTGCACTGCACTAAAATCCCCTCTCCACTGCCTGCCTGTGTGGGGGAGTCTCGGCAGTTTCCGCGCTTTCCTCACTTCATTGACTGCATTACATAAACGCCGCCACCACGTCGTTAAAGAGCGTCTCAAACATCTCCGTCACGTGCAGGCCAGTGCAGGCACTCGTCTCAAAGTACTTGTAGCCGTGGCCCTCTGCCCACTGCCGCCCCTCCGCCTCGCTGACGACCCGCTTCCTACCACCGTCAACCTCGTCGTCGACTTTGTTGGCGCACACAACCACCACCGGCGGCTTTGCGGCGGCGCGGGCACCGACCGTCTCGATGGCGGCGCTGCGGGGCACGCTCAGGTGCATCTGCATCTCCGCCACCCACGCGTCAAGAGCGGTGAAGCTTGCAACATCGCTGACATCGTAGACGATTAAGACACCCTCTGCCGCGTAGTAAAACTCGTTGCGAATCTCCACAAACTCGTCACCGCCAGACATGTCCCAAAAGTTCACGCGAACAAAAAAATTGGGTGGTACGGGCGACATGTGCGCCGGCGCCCGCAGCCCCACCCGCTTCACCCCGTAGTCTATGCCAATGGTGGGAATGTACTTTGCCACAAAGCGCCCCTCGCAGTACCGCTTGATGATGCAGCTCTTCCCTGTCCCCACGGAGCCGATGGAGACAATTTTAATCCGCGGCTCCACGCTGGGGGCGGTGGGGGCAGATGAGATAGCGAAGAAAGAATTGCCATTGTTCGGCTTCGCCATTTCTACGTGTGTGTGTGTGTGTGTGTGATGCAATACGTTTCTGACCAGCCTAACTAGGGGGCAAACAATCAGACGACGGCAAGCAGCGGCACGAGAAAAGACCACAGGTATCCCGCTGCATCCCTCGACACCCAGTAACCAATGGGCACACATGCACAGCGACACGCTGCCTTCTCCGTCCATGACCGTCGCTGTTACTCCCTTCTTTCCTTTTTCCGTTTCTTTGTTTGTTTTTCTCACGCAACTCACGCAAACAACAACAAACCAAAAACAAAAACAACTACAACTAAATGGGAGCCTCATCCCCCTTTTGTTTTGCTTTATCTTTTGCTCTTATGCTTGCTGGGTGCCTAGCGAAAGCCTCCAGCCCGGGCGCAGGCGTTGCAAGCGCAGCTTGCCCGCATCTGCCACGCGCACGCCGCGGCAGCGGTGTGGCTGCGCGTCAGCGCTTGTGATGCACCTTCTGCAGGTACGCGTCCGCAAAACCGTCGTCGCGCGGCTCGTCAAGGCCCAACTCCTTCGCCCGCCACCGCTCCCGCTCAATATCCTTCTCAATGGACGTGTGCCGCCGCTGTCGCTCGCTTTCCTCCGAGTAGTACACAGCGGTGTAGATGGAGGCGGCAACGAGGATGCTGCCGAAGAACAACTGCCTGTCGCGCAGCCGGTTCCACCCGATCCACGACTGACCGGCCTGATCCCCGCAAAAGAGACGCGCGTATGAGTTCATCGCCTTCTCCTTCTTATTGTTTTTGTTTTCCTAATCCCCTGCTCCTGTTTCCTTCCCTCCTTGCGTCCTTGGCTCCTTTCCCACCACCTCCACACCAGCACCCGCCTTCCGTAGAAGAAGCGACAGAGGCATCATACACATGCACGAGATGAGTGTCATGACCGTTACATCGCCTGGCCGGACACGGCAGCGGCAACACACACAAATAAAAAACGGTACACCTCTCACTAAGTAAACATTGTCATTCCCCTGCAATGCACACATACACATTTATGTCTATCGCAAAAGGCAGCTCTGTACATAATAACCACTTCTTTTTCGTGCTTTTTCGCGTGTGCTTCGCTGCGTGTGGCGGCAGAAGAGTGAGAGAGGGGAAACGTACAACGCTGCCTGCCTGACCTCAACACCGCCGCTCGCATACACCCACATAGAGAAAAAAAAAAAGAAGAGGTGATCTCATACCACACGTTTACCCGTGTGAAGGGGCCCCTCCAACCCGCGCGGAAAATTGTAGTGGTCAAACATAACATCAGAGTGCTGTGCCCGCCTTGCAGTGTCGATGCGGCGCTGAACACTCGGCTTGAGGTCACCGTCAGCGGTGGCCATCCGGCCTAGCAGCGTCTCAGAGAACCGGGCCCAATCCGTCACGGGGAGATCGTTATCGCGCGGTCTCGGCGCACGTCGCTGCTGCATCCACTCCGCAAGAGCATCGGGAACATTCACGTCAATGCCGTATTGAAGGTGACGACGGTCCTGCGGCGACGGCAGCCGATGCAACGGGGGCATCACTGTCGTCTGTGCCATCCGCGTTGTGGTGGTGTTGCTGTGATTCCCCGTCAGTCGCCTTTTGAACAAAGCAGGATCGCTCTCGCTGCTTCTCGCACCCTGCATCACCTGCGCAGATTTATCCCATGACGCCAGCAGCGCATCTTGAGCCCCGCTTAGAGTAGGCAGCTTTCCCGCCGCCGGCAACGACGCTTCCTGTGGCGGGTCTGACAAGATTCCTGTGGTGGACTCTCGCGTCAGGGCGCGGTAGTTGAGCGCAAGCTGGGCGTACTTCTTCTGAACCCCCCGCGCCTCCCGCCGCCATGCATCGATGTCCGTTTTTCTAGGGCGGGGCGCGGGGTAGCGGATCACGCAGGCCTGCAGCTGCTGCAGGGGATCGTACCGCATCTCGTCCACGAGGTCGCGGTAGACGGCGTGTGAGCCGCCAAGGCGGTCGGTGCGATTACACTCCTGGAGGAACGCGGTCAGCATTTGTTGCCGCAGCCGTGCCCGCCGCCGCTCCCCGCGCACGTCCTCTATCTGAGCGTCAATAAACTCCTGCACTGGCCGCATCACCTCCTTCTCCCAGGCGCGTTGCCTGCCCTCCACAACACGCTGCGCGTGCGTGGCGTCACGGAACTCCTGCCACGCACAAAGTGCAATGAGCTCCTTGCGGTCTTGTACGAATGCGTTGAGCCGGCACATGAATTCCGCATGTTCCTGTTCCTGCGTGTTCTCTCGGGCCTGTCGCTGGAGCCGCGCCGCCGCCGCCGCTGTGTCCCGCGCCGACTTCAGCCGCATCTCCTCCCACCGCATCTGCTCCTGCAGCTGCCACTCCTCCGTCTCGTGCTGGCGGCGGGCCGCAAGCCGTTGGCGTTGCTGCTCGCGTTCAATCATGCAACTCCAGTCCGCAGCATCCATGAGATCTGCGTATAGTGCCGCATCGTGCACGCGGACCCGCGGCGAGGGCGCCGTCTCGCTATCCGGCATTAAACTAAATAGCTGCAACCAGACGTATAGGACACGTGTGTGCCACTTGTAGGAAGTATATGTTGTCTGTATGTATATATATATATGTGCCTGTGTGTAGTGCCGGTGTCCCACGCCTCCCTCACCGTGCCGCGCACCAGATCCCCTCCGACGCCTGACACGAATACATAAAATGGGGTGAATGGGCAACAACACACAGAGAAAGGAATAAAAAGATAGTCATGTATGACATTCACACAATATAGAACGAACACACATACGTCGTATGTATTATACACGCACGCGCGTGATGCAAGCAGTGACACCGCGTGAAGAAGAAAGCCGTCAAAAAAAATCCAGAAGCAAAAACAAAACAAAAACGTACAAATGAATGCAGTCATCGTATGAAAAAAAAAAAGGAGCGGGAACGTGAGCTAGACGCCCATGCACCCTTACATACGCAGCCAGTCACGCCACGTTGTGTGAATCCGGCCTTGTGGTGTCTGAACACTTTCCCGCAAACAATGACAAAAAAAAAGAGAGTAAAAAAGTGAGCATGTGAAGACGCAGCACACTACGCACATGATATACAGACACATACGTGGAAGTGAACTCGCAGGCACCGTGGCCCCTCCCCCTACTGCGGACTACACACAACAGAGACACTCTAAAAGTATCCAAATAACTCTAAAAACAATCGCACGCACGCACGCACGCACGTGCGGTCACAACAGGACGGGCGGGAAGTGTTTGTCGTTGTCTCTTCTTCTTCTTCACTCATTCACCGCCGCAGGCGGAGAGCGACAGCAACAAGAAAAGAAAGGTGTTAAAAGCGTGATAGAAGAAACAAAAACATATATTTTTTTGTTGGTTGGTTTGTTCGTTTGTTTAAGGCCGGCAAAGGACCATTTACATCGCTCCCTCTACGCCCGCCCCTTCTCCCTTCCCCCGCTCTCGCTCAGGCTATCTATTCTACGCCCCTCACCACCCAGAGAATAAAAAGGTACAAGAGGGAGAGAAAAAAAAAACATTAATACACGTAGATGAGCTGAATACATCTACGTCATGCGCATATCTACACAAATGTACAACAACAAAGAAAAAAAAAAAAACTGTGGTGGTTGACATGTATGCATGCATGTCAACCACCCAAATGACTCACTTTCGGTGAACTCTAAGCGGCCACAGACACACGAGCATATGGACTTTTATTCGTTCCCTCGTTTTTATTTCCTTCGCCGTGTGGAGGTGGGTTTGTTTGTGTGTTCACTGCTCTTTCCACGGTTGCCTTGTTTACTCTTGTTAGTTTTATTTTGTTGCTTCCGCTGCCGCGGCTGCTTATTTGACGCCGAGCTCGGCCTCTTCGCTGCGCCAGAGCGAGGCGTTGTCTTCTTCGGTGTCGGCTGCGCCTTCTTCTTGCTGGCGCGAGTGTTGTGCGAGGCGGACCTTCTCTGCGTGTTGGTGCGTGGCTTCGCCGGTTTCTTCGTGTCCGCCTTCTTATTTTTCGCTGGGCCTCGTCCTTTTGGTGTCGTCCTTTTCTTGCCGCTGCTGCTGCTGCTGCCACCGCTGCTGCTCTTCGTCGTGCCTGCCCGTCTTTTCCGCGACTGCTCGGCGTCCTTCGCGAGACCCGCATCGGTGGGGGCGGCCGGCTGCACCTCCCCTGTGGGGTTCGTCACGGCGGCGCTGCCGCCGACCTGCGCCGCGCCACCTGCCCCCTTTGACGTATGCGGCTCCGTGCCGAGTGGCGGCGGCGGCACCAACTTGTCGGCGTCCGCATCCTCCGCCGCGTCCTCCCCGGTTGCTATCGGGGACCCAGGCGACTGCTGGTCATCCTCAGGCTTCTCGTCTTCGTCGTTGCCGCCGCTATTTATCTCCTCCCCCGACGTCTTTCCCGCATCCTCAAGGGTCATGCTGTGGTCCATGCCCTTCCCGCTCAGCCTGTCCTGATGTGCTAGGCTGCAGTTCTCCGCAGCCGCCTGATCTTGCGTCACCACCGCCCCCGGCCCCTCACACTCATCCGTGGCAGCAATGCTGCCTCCCGCCCCAGACGCAACGGCAGTGCCGTGAGGACTGTTGCCGCTGCTGGACCCGGCAGCTGAGTGGCCCCCACGTCGCTTCGTTACAGGAGTACACGTGATGACGCGACGCACAAGACGTGCTACTTGTCCCTCCCGCACCTTCAAGCCTTCACGAAGAGACCTCAGCTCGTCCTCGCATCGGTGCCGCATCCGCGCCAACTCCCGCTCCGCCTCCAACCGACCCAACGATGCCCGCAACAAGGTCTCCTCATCCCGCCAAATGCTCACACGCGGGTCGCCCACAAGCGGCAGTGTGTCACCGCTGCCACCACTACCACTCACGGCAGTAGTAGTAGCAGGAAATTTGCTCGCACTTTCCACTACAGGATTACATCCCGTTGGCGTAGAGGTCGCACTGGTCATTGCCATGGGCACAGCCGATGCGTTGAATGTGGATGCTGGTGTGTAAGCCGCTGCGAGTGGCACGTAGGCAGCGCGGAGCGTGACCGTCCGTCGAACAAATGCAGTAAACATGGCTGGGTCCTGTTTTGAACGATCCACACAAGTAAGGCACGGAAGCTAGGAAAATTTCGTTTCCCCCTCCCTCCTTCAAGTAGCCACAAGGAGGATAAAGTAGAGAAATAGCTTGGCTCCACTGCCTCGGCCCGACGATCAACTTTGGGTCACGACACGTACAACGATTGCACTCCCCAGTGGTGAGAAAAAAACAAAAACAAAAACACACACGCCAACACCGCTGCCGCGGAAAAGCAACAACTACTAAAGCTTAAAAACTCCTGCGCGTGGGAGGCGCAAAGACGGGGAACACCTCTCCTTTCTTCACTTATTGTGTGTGTGTGTGTGTGGCGAGG